TACCATCGGGACATAGTACATGTTGTTTACTCCATCTGCTGTACCTAACTACAAATAGCAAGCAAAAAACACGCATGCCACTTTGTGCAGTCAGATGAGGGACTATAAGTTTAAATATGTATAATGAATTATCCTAAGAAACACCCTGTATATGTTATTTATTATTTACTTCACCTATTTTTTTTTTCATATAATTTATGCAGAGATAGTGGCAGATATTAGGGGAGAGACCAGAATAAAAAATGAAATTATTTACTTATCTCATATAGTCTTTCATATTGTTCGATGCTTGTTTTTACTACCCTGTAGTAGAGGTAATTGGAATAATACCCTGTATATTACAAAATAATAGGTTACTTTTACTGTCTATATGTGAGATATATGGGTTTTAATTTATCTGATATTTGTTTTCTTTTATAAGGTTATTCTTTTTCATCTTCATTTTGTTTACTAACAGAATTTTTTGTAGGTATCAATTTAAAGTCTAGCAAATAAATAATGAAAACTGTCGTATGTGTAAATAGGGGTTGCAAAAACCTCCCCTTATATTTGCAGATGATGCGCACCGAAAGTAAATTTGGCGATGGCCCGCGAGATACGTAGAAAAAGAAAAAAAAAACAACCAGAGTTCGAAATCCTTATTCACAAATTCTACTACTGCTAATGCACATCTACATTATTGTGCAAATGAATGTGAACACAAGTGATAATTGATTGGTTACAAAAAAAGAAAAAATATAATAATATTAAAGTTTAAAGTTGTTATTTTAATAAGAAATAAGTCTTTAGCTTGATTTTATAATTTTTTGATATATAGTCAGCTTTATGATATTTGCTGGTCTCGAAATCATAATGTGGATTACCTCCTCAATTAATTTTGGTTTTTACCAAGTCTAGCTCTAACAAATCCCACAGATTTTCGATAAGATTTAGCAGTGGCGTGCGGTGACATTTTTGGAAGGGAAGCGATTGTATAAAAATACAGCAGACCAGTAAGCACAGCGCCGTAGGTGAAAATTTTTCGCGGCGCATTCACCATTTTGTCAAAACCTTGCTTTTTTCCTCAGTACTACGGATATTCGAGATTGAGATTTTGAAGTGTTACTATTACTTTATTACCTAGTTTAGTACTAGAAGCTATAAAAAACATACCATTTAAAAGCTTGCTTGGTTTATTTATACGTAAAAAAAAACATTTAACTGAAGTTTTTTTTTTATTTTTTCCAGCATTTTTCGCACAGTTGACACAGCAGTTGACATTTATTTATACTTAAGATCTATTCGCTTATCCTCAATGGCTGCAAATTTGTCTATGACATCGTCGTAAAATTTTGGATTTTCTGATAACTGTTTAACAAGCTGTTTTTCAACGGATATTAGGGCTAAATTAGAGAGTCTGTCTTCACTAGTTGAATTTCGTATAAAACTTTTAATGCGCTTTAAAGCTGAAAAACTTCGCTCAACTGACGCATTTGTGGCTGGGATGATTAGTACTAATTCACACAACTTGACGACTTCAGAAAGGAACTTATTTAAACAAGTTGTTATAAGAAAATTTAACACATTGATGGGCGTCTTTTTATCACTAATTTCAGTTGTTTCATAAACAACACTTAACTGGGACTTAAATGCTGGAATATCGAAAACATTTCTATAATTTAATTTTAGTGAATTAAACGCTTCCGATTGAAGGAAATGTAATTTTAAATGAAGCAAAAAAAAGACGAAAAGCCTACAATAATAATATTAAATAATGGTAATGATAAAAACAAAGAAGACACAGTAGAGCCTGAGAATAGTACAGCAGTAGTTTTGCCAATAGACATTCCTAATGATTTTAATACCGTTCGAAAAGACAGAGAATGGTCACAAGCTATTAAGGAAGAACTAACAACATTGGAGAAAAATAAAACTTGGGAATTAGTTGCAACCCCAGAAAACACAAATGTCATTGATTCAAAATGGGTGTTTACAAGAAAAGAAATAAAAGGGAAGGAAGTAAAGAAAGCGAGACTTGTTGATAGAGGTTTTCAACAAGAAATGTCTTTTGAAGAAGAAATTTATTCTCTAGTAGCCATGATGATAACATTGAGAGTGCTTGGCACTTGAAATGAATTGCACAATCCATCAAATGGATGTTAAATCAGCATTCCTCAATGAAGAACTAAAAAATCAAGAGGGTTATGTGTGTAAGTTGAAAAAGGCTCTTTATGGTCTCAAGCAGAGTCCTTAATGTTGGTATGACCGCTTACATCTATTTTTATGTGAGAAAAACTATTGTAGATACTCAGCTGATCCTTGTTTATATGTTAAAAGTAATACTTATTTCTTAATCTGCGTAGATGATCTTATAATAATTTCGAATTGCATAAATGAAGTAACTGAACTTAAAAGACAGTTAAATTTAGAATTTTAGATGAAAGATCTTTCAGACCAAAATAAAATCCTAGGTATTGAAATTCAAAGAACAGATAATGTATTGTTACTTTCAAAACAAACGTTAATTAGAAAAATTTTAGTTCAATTTCAAATGAATGATTGTAAAGGTTTAGATGTACCAATTCAGCCAAGTTAAATCTAATCTCACAAGAGAATTTTACTGCTAATGTACCATAAAAACAATTTATAGGTTCACTTATGCATGTTATGTTGGGTACAAGGCCTGACCTTTGCTTTGCAGTTACTTATTTCAGCCAGTTTCAAAATTGTTTTGATGAAAATCATTAGAAATATTTAAAGAATGTTCTAAGGTATCTGAGGAAAACTGAAAATTATGTTCTAAAGTATACTAAAACCGACAGTCCAAATGTAAATATTAATGCTTTTGTTGATTCTGATTTTGCTCATAATATTAATGATAGGAAAAGTATTAGTGGATTTATTTTAAGACTTAATAATGTTATTTTTTGGAAATCAAAGAAACAACCTATTGTTGCTTTGTCAAGTTCCAAGGTTGAATATGTAACATTAGCCAACTAGTCTAATCAACAAGTTCAAAAGCGTGTTTTTGGGACATACTATTACGAAAATTATGTTCAATAGCTTATTCGATTCGGAATAATGTCTAGATAAATGTGTAAAGAATAATTTTACAGTGCATAAAAAATTGCAAAAGTTATAAACAATTAAATACCTCAAAAACATGGTGTTTGGTTTTTCGCCTATAGTTTGTAAACTATAAATATTTTTAGACTTTTCAAAAAAGATCCTTAAAGAGGAGGAAATTTGCTATAAATAAGTTTCGACTACCGGAACTGTACCTTCATTATTTATAATTTTAATTTAACGCTCAAAGTAGCCTTCCGCGCGCCATTTTTAGGTTCCGCGTACGGCGTCGAAACCGAGTACGTTACATAAAATAATTTTTTTAAGTTAATAAATTTAAATTCAAAAATTTAAAAAAATGGCGGTATATTCTAAACACTTAGAAGAATACATTCCCGTTGGAATTTTTCATAAAAATTAATTTTCCAACAAAGTAGGTTATTGTTAATTACCAAAATTTTTAGAATTTCTCTCATTATTATGTTATGTTATGTTGATAATGGGGTGTTAATACACTGCGACCAGAAAGATCTATTGTGCACCCTTCTGTCGCCACTGCACTAAGGAAATGTCTCAATGCCTATAGCGACCCTTCCAATCCTATTTTCTCAAGGAAGTGTAGGATTTGAAGTGGCTTCAAGTTAGGTAAGTCTCCCTCTTCTATTTGATATCCTCCTAGATATAGTGCCCTTGGATTCTGGAGTGCTACACATTCAATTAGGATGTGAATGGAGGTTTCGTCCTCCTCCTCACAGAATCTGCACTCACTATCCTCTACTACTCTCAGTTTACTTAGGTGTCCTTTTAGTCGGCAGTGCCCGGTAAGGATCCCTGTTACAATACGTAGCCTGTTCTTGCTCAGGCAGATGCAGGCTTCCGATCTTTTTTGGTTATATTCACCCAGAAGTATCTTGGCCTGTCTCAGCCCCAAAAGATTGTTCCAATTATCGTTTTTTTAATATATCTATTGTTTAAATTATTAGTTAAGAAATGTGTTTTTTTTAAATCATAATTGACAGTCCTCTACAAAGTGACAGCAAAAATTTTATTAATAATTCCATTGTTGATTAAGTTAACAATTTGTTATAAACAAATTCCCAACTTTGGTTTATTTTTTTCCTGAAAGAAATAAAAATTCCAAAAACGACTTTGAAAATATACGTACTATCAAAGTAGCAGCAGCTGATCCATTTGTTGACTTAAAAGTTGATATAACTTTTAAACTATTGGAGAAAAATTGTTTTTATTAAGTTTAATAAAAAATGGAATAAAATTTTTATCGTAATTTTAATGCACTAAGTCGTTTTTGGAATTTTTATTTCTTTCAGGAAAAAATAAACCAAAGTTGGGAATTTGTTTATAACAAATTGTTAATAAACAATTATAATTAAAAAAAAAAACACATTTCTTAACTAATAATTTAAACGATAGATATATTAAAAAAACGATTATAAACAATTGAAGGTTATTATTAAGAAAAAAATTTTTTTTTAAACGTAATTGGCAATTGTCTAGAAAGTTGTAAAAAAAATTTGAAAAAAATTGAAATACGCCATTTGTTTATAAAAAATTTATAAACAAATGAAGGAAATTTTTTTTTGTTAATACATGTTTTTTTTCGACAATAAAACAGTAATATTATAATAAATTGAAAAAAAAAATTTTTATAGCACCACTGTGACTTTTCTGTTTATGTAAACTTTAAAAAAATGATTATAAACAAAGTATTAACATTTTTTAAACTTTTATGAAGCTTTTTTTGTTTTATATGTATATAAAAAGAGCTCCACGAAGCAAACAAAATTTACGGTAAATATTTAATATTTTTATCAATTTGAAATGATGAGAGAAATTCTAAAAATTTTGTTAATTAACAATAACCTACTTTGTTGGAAAATTAATTTTTATGAAAAATTCCAACGGGAATGAATTCTTTTAAGTGTTTAGAATACACCGTAATTTTTTTAAATTTTTTAATTTAATTTTATTATTTAAAAAAATTATTTTATATAACGTACTCGGTTTCGACGCCGTGCGCGCAACCTATAAATGGCGCGCGGAAGGCTATTTTGAGCGTTAAATTAAAATTACAGTTCCGGAAGTTAAAACTTGTTTATACCAAATTTTCTCCTCTTTAAGGATCTTTTTTGAAAAATACAAAAGTATTTATAGTTTACAAACTATAGGCGAAAAACCAAACACCATGTTTTTGAGGTGTTTAATTGTTTATAACTTTTGCAATTTTTTATGCACTGTAAAATTATTTTTTACACATTTATCTAGACCTTATTCCGAATCGAATGAGCTATTGAACATAATTTTCGTAATAGTATGTCCCAAAAACACGCTTTTGAACTTGTTGATTAGACTAAACTATATAACTGAATACTGAATGTATCTTACTCAAGCAAGTTCTAGAAGATTTAATTCGTAAACCTACTAATCACATATTGATTTATGAAGCCTTTTTGTTCTTTTTATTATAATACAGAAGTTAAAGTGATATATTTGACTTTATTCTGTTGACCAAAACCACGCTTATTCAACACGAAATACATAAAAATCATGGTTGGTTTAGGTCAAATTTTCTTTTTAAATAACTGCCGATTTTCGTAATTTTTTTCGGTTTTTTAGTGTTCTCGAAAATTTGACTGTGTACGGGTCAAACGGATCTCAGATTCGGATTCAGCGAGTCGAAATACATAAAGATATACCGGTCCCGTCAAAAGTACTAACAACTTTTTATTTGTGTGCCGGTGAAATTAATACTATTATTTATTTTTGTGACCAATAAATTATTTGTTTATATTATCACTTATGTTCAACTATTGTCGAAAGGAACGTTTCCGGATACCTTATATCTTCTCAGTTTTGCAGTGTATGACATTTGATGACTAATTTCATTATTTGTTTACTAGATTTTTACATTAATTTATTAATTCTACTATAATATGGTATTATCGAACTTTACTAACATTTTAGTAAAACTATGTTTATTTTTCAAAAACGTTCACTACGAAATTGAAATCTGTTTTAATTTTGTAAAATTGTATGGTAAATTCTCGGTAACAAATTAATTTTAAATTATGTCTTTCTATAAATAAATATATACAAATATTTTATACACTCAAGAAGTGCCGGCGTGTATAAAGCCTTTTTCTTTAAATAATTTAAAGCTATATACAGCAGCAAGCCTTCTTTGGTTATATTAGTTATAATGTCAGACCTTTTGGCATTAACACTATTAAAACAATCACTGGTAAGGTTTGTTCCCCATATATAAATGTACAAATTTTTCATTACTCTAATTATTCTTATTTACATCATACATAATACATTTCTGGAGAGTGGTATGGTTCTTTTTAAAATAAAATTTAAAAAGTCGAATATATATTCGATAAAAAAAGAGGTAGGAACTTGATTTTAATTTTGAGAATTGGAATATCTCAATTGCAATATAAATGTCGGAGTCAATTAGTGAAATCCGTCATTCCTTGAAAAGCCTAGTCATTTCACGTATTGCCGGCTAACATCGTAACTATACATTTGGTAAACCGTTTGCCTAATGGTTTCAGGCATTCCCTGTAATGACGGAATCGTTTCAGTCAAACTAAATGATTTAAGTTACTCGGTTTGCCGGGTTTAGTCGAACGCTGTAATTGTTGTTAACATCCGTGAGTGTTTTTTCTGGTGAAAACTAAAATGTCGAAGCATTCAGAATTGTTTTATAAGAAGTTAGATGACTATTACTCCAATCGAAGAAAGAAAAAACCTTGGAATATTGCGGAATTGACGAAGATAAGTTGGTTTTTAGGATTTGAAATCTAACCTCAAACTACTGCAATCTACAAAATCACTTCAAATCCGTACACTGTTGTCAAGTTTAACACGGTTTTATAATTAATTTGCTTGAAAAAAAAAGATTTTATTGTCTGCTTTTTCATTGAGTTTTTGAGCATGTAGATTTTAATTATAAAACGGGTATTATATTTTACTTTGTATTCTTTTAGGTCGCCACAGAAATTCTGCGAACTAAGCAAACTTCTGGAAAAAAAAACGAGAAGACAGTATCACCTTTTATCTTTATATGACGTGTTGGAAGTGGAAGAAGAAAAAAATGGTTATTAAAATGGACAAACATGATGAAGGAAAGTATGTTTCACTGGTTAGTTACGAAAAAATATTTAATGTTGTTTGTGAAGCACACATAAATGTTGGTCATGGCGGTCGGGATAAAATAATACACAACTTAAAAACAAAATATGACTTTGGAAGATATGCAATAGAAACATTGCTCGAAACATGTGAAGTTTGCCAAAAGAAAAAACAAGTCTCATGCAAATTTGACTATAAAACCTATTATTTCAACAAACTTTAACTCTAAAGGACAAGTGGATTTTTAATCTTACCCAGACAATGAATACCGTTGGTTCCTTAATTATCAAGATTACCTAACAACATTTTTATTTTTACGTCCTCTTAAGACAAAAACTGCGAATGAGGTAGCAAACGAACTGCTCAAAATATTTTTGGAAATTGGTGCACCTAGCATACTCCAAAGTGACAATGGTCGAGAATTCACGGCATCTGTGATATCGGAAATGGTGAAAATTTGGCCATTTTAAAAATTCTTCATGGTCGACCAAGGCATCCACTATCACAGGGAAGCATAGAGAGAAGCAATCAAGATGTGGAAAATATGCTTAGAGCGTGGATGTACGTTCAAAAAACGGGTAACTGGGCTGTTATTTCGTACAGTTTCAAAGAATAGTTCCTCCCACAAAGTAATTGGACGTTTACCATATAAAGCATTATTTGGAGCTGACCCTAAAGCTGGATTTTCTCCTTTGAATCTACCTAGAGATTTGCTGGATAACTTGGAAAACGAAGATAACTTGCGTATGTTAGAACAACATATTGAAAATGAAAACCTGCAAGAAAAATCACAGTGTGATGAAATAGAAGAACTACATGGCATTGGGGAATCGGTTGGTGATCACAATGATGTTGAGCATGTTGTTCACTTGATTGCTGAGTATCAAGAAGAAATAAAAACATTGGTGATTACCAATGAAAACACAGAAGAAATATTTAGTCAGGAAGAAGTTACGTTATGCATTACATGCCCTAAAGATGGAGGTAAATGTATATTATGTCAAAATACAGCAATAATTGAAGAAAACAGACATGATACAAGCCGGTGCCAAAAGCGAGCAGCAGAAAAAATGCTGGAAAATACTACAAAAAAACTTCTACCAATAAATATAGGTTCGTGTGTCCTTTTACCTATTAATTAAATTGATAGAGGTCCTTCTGACAGGCAAAATTTGATGTGTGTTGTAACAGATTACAAAAATGGGGTCTATCAAGTCGGATGTTTAGCTGGTCGAATCAAATCATGGTTCAATCGACCTGATTTAATGGAAACCAAAAAGGAATTTCTTCAAGTAGATGAGGTCCCTAAAAAGTTTCTATCAATACGAGAAGGTGTGCAGTCGCTGTCACTTTCCGGAGGTTAAGGATACTTTAACTGTTCATGTAAGCCAGCGAAAAAACAATGTTTGTCAAACAGATGTGTTTGTGTGAGAAAAAAGTTCTTTGTAATTTAAGGTGTCATAAAAGCGCACCTTGCGCTAATAAACCATATTATCAGTCATTTTATAGTTTTCATGTAGCTTTTATTTTATTTATTAATAATAATAATACTCTCCCTAATTCACCCCCTTACGAGTGAATTTCAACCCCTAAAGTCGACTGAACGACTTGTGTAGGGGAAGGGACGGATATTATTATTATTTGCCGTGGCGCTCCGGGGCGACTTAAAGATGATTGATGGTGCCATTTGAGGAAAACCCAGAAAACTTCACCCACCATCATATATTATATTTCGTTCCAATGTGTACGTTCCATGATTTTTTTATAGTATGTATGCTCTAGATAGGTGAATTTAATCTCAGAATGATATTTTATTTTTTTTGTCCAAACCATTCTCCATACTGACAATAAATGAGTTTATGTTTTAAATTTAATACTTAATACCCTTTCCTGTATTACTGGCAATACTGTCCTAATTACAATGATTGACTAAACCCGGCAAACAGAGTAACTTAAATCATTTAGTTAGTTACAGCGTTTGACTGTAACGATTCCGTCATTACTGGGAATGCCTGAAACCATTAGGCAAACAGTGTATCAAATGTAGAGTTACGCTGTTTGCCGGCAATACGTGAAATGACTAGGCATTTCAGGGAATGACGGATTTCACTAATTGACGCCGACATAAACATTTCAATCATTGTTTCAAGAACCCACATCACTCTAAACCTTTGGCAATGATTATGTACTTTCTTGGTTTTATTGCTCATACTAAAACTATTATGATGTTTGTCTTTACTGACAGATTTGTAGACCTAAATTTAGTTTTAATCCAAATGAAATTCGTCTTATTCCATAAATCAAATTGTTTATACAATATCCTGATGGGTTCGAGTTATTTTTTCCCACTGTTATACTTGTAAATACGGCGTAAAAAAATGTATCCTACGTTTTCAGTCTGTTTACTCCTTTCAGGAAACTTTTTAAATGCATCGTTGTATACAAATTGATTTAAGTACATAGCTTTAGTATCACAATTCATAATAAATAAATACTTTAATTACTAAAGAGGTAGATTTAAAAGATAACTAAGTTCTGACTTGAACAAGCCCTTTTTCATGTTACCAGTGCTGCCACTATCGACACTAGTACAGACCAACTGATAGTTACTTTTAGTCCATTGCTGGCAAGAATAACCGTCGGTACTTCTTCTTCTTCTTTGTGGATTCGATGAATCGGATCTTCTTCTTCTTTGTAACCGTGGTGGGTTCTGTTGTGATGCCTAGCGTGTTTGTGGAAACATAGTTTGTCCATGTTCCGTTGAATACCGTGACAGTCATAATCTTCAAAACCTGAAAGAAAAATAAGTATTTACCACGTAAGTCGATATCCAAGTACAGTTCATCAAATTTCTAGAGGCTTTCGACGGCTAGACAGAGAAAGCACTACTGACAGGCATCCCGACGGATTTACGCAATGAAAGTACACTCTGCGCATCAAGTATTTCACTATTTCATTCAGACGTAAATGTCAGATGTAAATTTCGCTAAAACATTTCTTTTATTTTCGTTTGTTTTTTGCTCATTACAGTTTAATAGAACCTAAGTATGGAGTTTAATAGCAAATTAAGAGGCCGCGTGATTAACAGTCAATCTCGCGAAATAATAGCCAATGTTATAGAGTTTATGAGTAGAAAAGGAAACTTTAATTCACCTTCAATACCATTTAAAAATGTAAATGATCGTGTTGCTGAAGCCACAGGAGTATCTAAAAACACTGTCGTCCGCATTTCTGGAGAGAAAAAAGAATCGATAACCGTGAGATATCGGAATTTTCATCACCAAGAAAAACCATTAAAAAACCAAAAACAGTTAATGATATAGATGAAGCTGCACAAGAATCAAATTTTATTTTTTTATTATTAGATAGCTATTTTTGTTTCGGAGTTTTTTAATAAAGCAAACAAGTGTTAAGAGGTATATGTACGTGTAAACTACAATTACAAAAAATTGATATGAAACCCATGAAACCACCAACAAAAATGTAAAGCTAGCTTCCGTACTAGAACATGGTGTCATTCGTCGAGATAATTTATCGTTTTGTTTAATAGATCAAGAAATGTAAATATTCCCCTGTTATTTTTTATAAAATTATAAGAGAAATACATTTTTTTCTAAATAGTATAGTTTATTATTTTGTAGAAAAACAAAATTTCGAAAATTTTAGTAATGTTTCAGAAACAACCGTTATTAATAATAGGTACCATTTTCCTTAATAAGGTAGAAATAAAATATAAACTATTTCCACGATTTACAAAGGCCTACAAAAAAATTATAGATATTTTCCGCAATCCTATAAAATTTATATTTTCTGACTCAATTTCAAAAGGTTGAAGGAATTCCAAAACAGCTTTTATGGCATAATAATTATTTTCAATTCTACATACTATCTTTAGCTGCTTTTAAAAACGTTCTAAGAAAGCCCAATCAGACCAATTTAATCCCTAAACTATTCCACACTTTTAAAATTTAATTACCTAAAAATATTAAAAACTATTTAAAATAACTTGTTTAGCAGACTGTACAATAGCTATCTTAGTCACACGTAGCGCGTTCTCTGTCTGGGCGTCGAACACCTCTAGAAATTTGATGAACTGTAAGTCTATTTTGAAAATATTAGAGTAGAATATTCTTTAAAATAGCAATCATCATTGAAACACATGGATTAGTGTTTTTTATAAAAATATCAGAAGAAGATAATTATGAAACATGTATCAAAGGTAATACCAAGAGTCCTTCAAATTTAATCGATAAAATTTTTAGTTTCCAGAAAAACTTCTTAGGACTGTGAACTTGGCACCACAACATTGCAGAAAAGGATCAAAAATGTGTGAGAGGTTTGCCCATTGTTTGCCCATTATTGTCCATGAAATACCTTTTTTGCCCACCCTCTGTTTTCACAATATATATCGAAAATAATTTTCGCGGGCCAACTTCCAGACAAATGTTAAAATTTTCATAATTTAATTTTACGGCATAATAGCATCTCGTTTGCCCATAAATTAGTTAAAAAAAAAAATATAGAGAAAATAAAAAATGCAATATGATAACTGCATTAGATAGTCATTCGTTGGCCCATGTTTGCCAATTTTTTTGTTTCACAAATTTCCATAACGATCTTTAAAAAAAATTAATTACATAAGGGATTTGATGACAATTCCACTATCCCAGATTTAAACGAGTTTATTTGTTGTAAAAAAATGGGCAAACATCGAAATAACGCCAAAATATTTGTGAGTTACTAAAAAATGTTTTCTGACGATTGCCCATTTTTTTTTAAATCCTCGTCCAATAGGGGGGCTTAAACTCCGAAAATAGTGCATTTATATGTTTTTATTAGTGATATAAAAATGGGAAAACATCAAAATAATTTCAAAAATAGTATAAGTTGCTAAGAAATATATTCTGAGGATTGCCCAATTTTTAAAAAAATCCTCCTCCAATAGGGGGCTTAATATTCGTTAGTAGTGCATTTAGATTTCTGTGTTTTTAGTTGATATAAAAAAATTAGCAAACATCGAAATGATTCAAAAATAAGTGTAAGTTGCTAAGAAATATATTTTGAGGATAGCCCATTAAAAAAAATCCAAGTCCAATAGGGGGGCTTAAACTCCAATACCAGTGCATTTATATGTGTTTATTAGAGATATAAAAATGGCCAAACGTCAAAATGATTCTACAATAAGTGAAAATTACTAAGAATGGTATTCTGAGGCTTGTCTATTTTTTAAAAAAATCCTCATCCAATGGGGGGCTTAATCTCCGATAAAAGTGCATTTCTGTATTATTACTTGATATAAAAAAATGGCAAACATCAAAATGATTCCAAAATAATTAAAAATTGCTAAGAAATGTATTCTGAGGATTGCCCATTTTTAAAAAGTTTAAGCCCCCCTAATGGACGAGGATTTTTTTATAAAATGGGCAATCCTCAGAATACATTTCTTAGCAACTTTCAATTATTTTGGAATTATTTTGATAATTGCTTATTTTTTTATATCAAATAAAAACACAGAAATGCACTATTAGCAGAGATTAAGCCTCCGTATTGGACGGGGTTTTTTTTTTAAATGGGTAATCCTCAGAATACATTTATTAGCAACTTATTTGGAATCATTTTGATGTTTGACCATATTTTATATCAAATAAAATCACAAAAATGCACTATTATCGGAGATTAAGCCTCCTTATTGGACGAAGATTTTTTTTTTAAAAATGGGCAATTTTTAGAATACCTGTCTTGGTAACTTACACTTATTTTGGAATCCTCAGAAACCGTTTTTTTGTAACTCACAAATATTTTGGCGTTATTTCCATGTTGGCCCATTTTTTTATAACAAATAAACTCGTATAAATCTCGGATAGTGGAATTGTCATCAAATCCCTTTTTTTAATTAAATTTTTTTTGAAGATCATTATGGAAATTTGTGAAACAAAAAATGGGCAAACATAAGCTAACGAATGATTATCTAATGCAGTTATCACATTGCATTTTTGGGAATATTTTTTTTGTTTTTTTTATTTTCTCAATTTTTTTTTCTGAAAAAACTAATTTCTGGGCAAACGTGGGCAAACGAAATGCTATTATGCCGTGAAATTAAATTATGAAAATTTTAACTTTTGTCTGGAAGTTGGTCCGCGAAAATTATTTTCAATATATTGTGAAAACAGGGTGGGCAAAAAAAAGTTATTTCATGGGCAATAATGGGCAAACGATGGGCAAACCCCTCACACATTTTTGACCCTTTTTGCAATGTTGTGGTGCCAAGTTCACAGAACTAAACTTCTTCATTTGAAAAAAAAACACGTAAACAAATCGACTAATAAAATCACTTCGTACTCGTGATTTAATCTTAAATCGGTTTGTTTGGGTGGTTTTGTCTAAAATAAAGATATTTGAGTATGAAAACTAAATTTAATAAATAAAATTTAAAAAGACGAGTGTTTATTAAACATTCTATAATTATATCAAAGTTTGGACCGCAGATGGAATGTGCCGAGCATGCGTAAAGCCACAGCGCATATAATAGCTTTTCTTTTAGGGATTTGATATTTGCCAATTTTACATTTTTTTATTGTTATTTCAGTATATTATAAAATAGAATAAGTTGTGCTAAATTTACCCAGATAGAAAAAATTTTTTTTACATTTTGTCAAATTTCTCGAATACGGACCATTTTAGGAAAATTTTGTATAGAACAAAAATTATAGATAATAATATAAGAAGTAACTTTTATTTAAAGAATTTTCTTCCCCAAACGTAAATAACAGATATATTCCATAAAATATAAAAAATGACCACCTATAAAGTACCCCCCCAGATATTCCGACTCTGTCCAAAATCTAATCAGCTCATTAGACGCTGAAACAAAGCTTAAGTTTAAAATTTGGTGTTTTTATGTGTATCGGTTCATGAGTTATGCGACACACACACACACACACACACACACACACACACACACACACACACACACACACACACACACACACACACACGCACACACGCACACACACGCACACACGCACACACGCACACACGCACACACGCACACACGCACACACACACACACACACACACACACACACACACCACACACACACACACACACACACACACACACACGCACACACACGCACACACGCACACACGCACACACGCACACACGCACACACGCACACACGCACACACACACACACACACACACACACACACACACCACACACACACACACACACACACACACACACACACACACACACACACGCACACACGCACACACACGCACACACGCACACACGCACACACGCACACACGCACACACGCGCACACACGCACACACGCACACACGCACACACGCACACACGCACACACGCACACACGCACACACACACACACACACACACACACACACACACACACACACACACACACACCACACACACACACACACACACACACACACACACACACACACACACACACACACACACACACACACACACAGACATCATCGCGAAAATAGTCAAAACGGATTCAGGGGACCTCAAAACGTAAAAATCCGTCGAAAACTCGAGGTCGAAAAAAATCATGATTCCTAACTTTCCTTATATCTGTATACAGATAGGAAAGTAAAAATGTAAAAGATGTTATATTTATTACATATTTTATTTTACCGTTATTAAAGAGGAATTTTTGTTTGTGAATTTAGGGTAGAACAAAAACATATATGAGTAATATGTAAATTATTTAAATAAAACCTTCAGCATATATTTTCATTCCATTCTTATGAATTAATTGAATGGCGTCTCACAGACACCACGCGGGTACTCTTGTTTGGAAATTCAACGCGGGTGACCGAGGGTTAATTTACCCACATAGAACTGTTTAGCCATTCAAAAAAGTTTAATTAACAAAAGCTGAGTGTTTTGAATGAGTTTTTGTCTGTTAACAAAAACAGGTACCTACTCATATAGATTTCAAATACATTTTAGTTCATTAAAATTTATTAGATGTTTATAGTTATCAGTTTAAAATATGAACAAAATTTTATCAAAAAACACAAACAATGAATGGGTTTAATGTTTAATGATTAAAAAACTCAATTGGTTAGGACCGCGAGCTCTTCTTGGCTGAAATCACAAAATTTGACTATTTTAAATTTAATAAAAACTATTCAAAATTAGATAAAAGTTTCAAAGTATGATCGGTCACTATAAGTTTTTATTTAAAGAACATAACGTATTATTGTAATGTTTCGAAAAAATATTTTTCCATATTCTGGTGCACTGCCTTCCTAGTCAGAAATGTCCTATCTGTAAATTTGTTGTTTCGAGATAATAGAGTTTTTAATTATTTTTAGCAGACAGGTATTATCTGCTGAAAGTTTTTGTATAAATTTGCTTATTCTATAGTATCCTAAAGCTTTTAGTAAGAGCTTATACAATGTCGAATTGAACACTTTCCAATACGCTTTGCTAATGGCGAAGTGAAAATAACAAAGAGTTGGCATTAAGGTGTGCAGAAAATAAATAATATCAATGTTGCCTTATGTGCTATTCGATGTGAATAGGCACATAGTGATAGATATTCCCATGCAGCCGTCTGACATTAACAAAGCGTATTGAAAAGCGTTCATTAGCCGATACTGTAACTCGTATTTTAGTTTTTTGATAAAGTCGGTAGTAAGGATATGTTATTTATACAGGGTGGAACAGGAAAATGACAACATAAAATTGTTTGATTACAGTAATTCGCTAAAATACACTCAATACTTATTTCTTATTAAGGTATTAATTAAAAACAGCTGCCAATGCAACAACTAATGATACCAAATTGGATATTATGCATGAGTTTTAGGAAAACCCACCCAATATTCGATATTAGCCATTCATCGATTATACGATCATTAAAAGAAAATAAAATGCATCCCTATAAAATAATACCAACTCAGGAGCTCACGGAAGACGAGACTTTGATATAACGCAATGATGGTAATGTTAGATAATATGGTGATCCAATTAGAACATGTTTTGTTTCCTGATGAGTGTACCATTACACTTCACGTTCATGCTAATCGTTAAAATTGCTGCTAATGGTCTAGGTAAAATCCTCACTAGATGAGAGGAGAATATATGCAATACCCTGAAAAGGTTAATGTTTGGGCAGGAATTGTTGGCGATCATACCATAGGTTCCTTTTTCATTCATGGCAGTTTGAATGCTCCAAAATACTGTCGTACCAACTTTAACGAACTTATATCCCGATTCAGCAAACCCAGTTCTAGCGAATATGATATGAAATGAAGCGAGAATTGCTGTCAATCGAATCATGGTTGAAAAAGGCAAAGTAGAAGAGAGATGGGATGAATTTGACGAAAAAGTTTTAATAATTTTATTATTCATAGGTTATTCGCTTCCAAATAATTTTTTTTAAATTATTCATTATTTTCACTAATTTCCTTAAACATCCTGTATTTCTCTATTTGAGCCTTTGAAAATGTCCATGGAATGTTCTTAAATGGACGTTCTTAAGACATCCTCATTATTAAAAATGGACGTTCCAAAGATGTCTTGAATGTCCAAGCAGGAAGTTTTTAAAACGTCCATAAGACGTATTTGTACTATCTGGAAATATTTACTATAGCAAAGCTATGATCAACAATCTGTCATTTATAAACAAGTAAATTATTTTGGAAAACTTGACTTACCATCACATTTACACGATTTTAGTTTGGCAGCTTTCTCCTGCTTCCTCAAAATGTTAATAGAATTATTACATCTAAGTGTGCATTTCTTTCCATGGAACATGGCTTTGCAGTATTCGTTGTAGTACTCAAGAGCCTTTGAACACAAAGTATCCGCCATACAGATCCATTGAGCTACTCTGCAAGGCACCACCACCGCATTCATAGCATGTATTACGGCGGGCCTACAGATGTCGGTCCTTTGTTTTTGGTCTTCACAGTAATCGTCACTGCATACACACTGTAACAAAAGAAAAAAAAAAGATCAAGGTCATATTTCTATAGCGGATTTATAATAATAATATTTAACTATAATAAAAATGCAAATCGGTGTTTAAGAGGGAGTGTCGGGGCCATAAAATTAGAGGCAGCGTGCGTAAAACGTGGATGTGGATGTGGAGTATTCCAATACTTCTCGGGCAGAATAAAATATATTTTTTTTGAAGTTGTAAATATTTTAAGAATATCTCGGACGGGAGAAAGAGAAAAGAAGTAAAACTCAGGGGTCTACGCCTTCCTATCCTCCCTTACGCCATTTTAATAAAGTATGAAACAGGTATTTTGAATTTAGACGACACCATTTCTCTCCTATCAAAATTTGATTATTTGTCGGTTTTGAAAACACAATTATTATTGGTGTCTTCAATTTTCCTGGTCCATTATAATATTCTTAACGGAAATAAATTTAAAAATTATTTTATGAACTTCAAGCTATCCCAACGTATTCTCGAACTAATATGCTTCCAAATCAATAATGATATATCAATACATACAAATTCGCTATTACTGTCCTCAGTTAAGGTTAGTACTCTAATAGAAAAGTCCGATCACGCAGTAATAACTATTGACATTACTAAGGTTGGACATTCGCTTGCAATTATTGACTGGGATAACTTACTGATTGGACTGATGATTATAACACCATTAAAAGAAACGTTTATTGAAACAAATTAAAGCCCTGGATTACTTGGAAACTACTGGTAATGGTACATAAACTTAAACCCAATCTATGGAGAAAAACACATAAGATGACGATGATTTAATTTAAAACAGAAGATTTTCCAATCTGCTTCTGAGTCAACTGTTTCTACGAGATATTCTTGCAAAGAATCAATTGCTAAATGTGACAATACAAAAAAAAAATCATTAAATATATTAGTTCTTTTCTTTTCTCCAAAGTGGTCACTTTTTTCTTCAAAAGACTAAGGCAAGTTTATATTTCTTTAATTTCGAGGCAGCCGAGATTTTATTCCTCTTTTTCAGGGCCTACACCACTGAGTCACCAAAGGGTGTGCTGTTTCATATTATCACTATAAGCAACTTAGCCTTACTGAAAAATATTACATTAAAGCTTACTCATCTTCTGGTATAGACGCCTTAATATTTTATTTCTTAAAAAAATGTGCAGTCGTTTTGTCATATCCTCTTTCCATAATAATGAATGCTTCTTCCATTCAAGGTTTTTTTCCCTCCCAATGGAAATCTGCATCTATCAATCTGATGTTCTGGGTAATAAACTTGATCCTGACAACTACCTCCCAATCAGTTGTTTGCAAGGTAATGCAATCAATTGGTGCAGAAAATATTTCCTCTTTTCTCGTCCATAAAAATGTTATATCTCATCAGAAATACGATTTCATCAAAGGACGATGGAGTCTTCTGCATTGTATTCATAATAGGACAAAGTCCTTTAAAGATAAAAAGCGTATCAATATTATTTATTTAGAATTTTTCAAGGCTAACAGAATCTCCAAAGTCTGGAACAACCTGCCCCATGAAATTATAGATTCCCAAAGCATCAACAATTACGAAAACAAAATAGACTTGCATATTTTCCAAAATTTATAAATTTAAGTTTTAAATTGGTAGATACTTGGACTTGCCACTAGATAATTTTTGGACATTTTTCGAGCTATCTTTTCAGATTTATCTTAGAATTATTATTGGTTTTAATTGTTTTAACCATAGGCTGTTCAAATTGTTTTTTAAATGGACAAAATAGGACTTCTTATTATGCTCTCATCTTAATTATAATCATAACAATAATAAATTTGATTTTTTATGTCAAATAATAGAAACTTCCATTTATAGTAATTTGCTTAAAAAAAGCAAAACAACATTTTTTATGGGATTTAGTTCTGTTTTCTATAATTATATAAATCTATACAAGATATTTACGTAGTAAATGGTGTATTTTATATACGAACCATTGACAATAACGAACAAAACATTAATAAGTAGAGTTGTAATTACATTTTATATTCATCCTTAAAATTAGTGCCTAATTCGTAACTGACAAATGAAATCAGAACCATTTCCTCGTACGGTAATCTAAAGTGGATTCTAAATAACTGGATATTTTTTATTTTCTAGAAGTTCCCATTGATTTGCATTCGAAACTATGGTGAAGGACATTATGGTTACCTCGCTCCATCTAGAGACCTTAAACTCATTAAGCCAGAATAATTACTTCCAAAGACAGACAACCTCTAATTGGAATCAAAAATTAGCATAATTTGATGCTTTGTAATTATATCCATGCGGTATGGTATTACATACTGCTTTCATTTGGGATGCTAGACAACCAGCTAACATGAGCGTCCCTTTAGAGAGGCAACAACGTGGTACGGTTCGTCTTTACTTTCTTTAAATTGTCGAACAAAATACACTCGAATATGAAAACGAAAAATAATTATTATTATTATTATTATGAGAGTCCGTAAAACTCAAATTTACGTAAAGTAGCACTTCTTTGACCACGGTGTTCAATTAATTAGTAACTGTAATATTATTTGAACGGAAATCTTAACGTATTAAAAAACCTATTAATAATAATGATCTCCCTATAATTCACTCCCTTGTAAGTTAATTTCTAATCCTAGAAGTCGAGCAGATGATTGATGGTGCCATTTCAATTACAGGTGAGGAAAACTCTACCCACCATCATTGTTACTATTTATATGAATGATCTATTAAGTTTTCTACAACAAAACTATTACGAAAAATTTAGATCTGGCAACTGGCAACACTGTCACAGTACAGATCAGTATTGATAGTTAAGTGATTTATTAGGTCTGTAACAGTTATTTTTGCATTTTTGAAGTTTTAAATGATATTGTTTTCTGAGTTTTATTGAGATGTTTGGACAAAGAAAATGAATCTAGCACTTCGTTATTCCGATTACATATAAAAGATTTATAAATGCAAAATATGTACACGATGAAAGTAAGTAAAAATATTTGCCAAAATGGGTTTGCTCGATAATCCTTTTAGACATACTTAATGACTAACCAAAGATCAAAATTTTAATAATTTAACTTTTTCTCAGTTCTAACACCGTTCAACTTATGGATGTCAAACTCAGCCGCTCGCTAAAATAGGAACGGAATCTAAGTTCATAAGACCAGAACCATTCTGGGCATTGCAAAAAACACTGCCAATGGAATTATCTCAAAATGGACGGAGGGTGCAATACTCACGAACTGGAGAGATACCCTAGGGCTAACTCATTCGAAGGCGTTTGTAAACAACCCTTCTGCCTCTGCTTAGATCCAAGGATGGAGTAGGAAAGATCTATACATTTTCACAAGACTGGTGACTGTCATCTGGATAAGCATATGAGAAGGATAGGTTTGCAACAAACATTGGATTGTCGATTCTGCAGCTTGGAAGTCAATTCTGTAGGGTTCACTTTATGTACCTGCTCCACTATGGAAAGAACCAGGTTCCAGATCTTCGGATTTACCCGACTGGAGCCTACCGACGTTAAACAAGTGTAAACAATAAATAAAACTCATTAAGATTACATTGAACGCATACTTGCAAAACATTTTTGCTTTCTCCAGAATAAAGTTGTAAGTTTATAAAGAGTGATACACAAAAAATGTTTCTTAAGTAGGCCATGACCAACCATGCAGTTGAATATCCCCAGGGGATGCCCACAGGGTATATAACCCTGTGGAACCTAGTGGCAGATGAACTGCTGAAAATAATCAAGGGCTGTAAGTCCAAGGATATGCAGATGACATAGTCATTCTTATCCCAGGGAAACACCAAACCACAGTCTTCAAACCCATGCAAAGAGCTCTTAGGCTGACATAAATGTGGTGCGTTATCCCTGACAAGGCACAACTCATAACCTTTACTCGAAAAACAAGGTTGGAGGTCTTAGAAACTCCGACTATGTTTGGAGGAAGGCTAAACAAAACGAACCAAGTAAAATATCTGGGTCTAATCCTAGATAGCAAACTTACTTGGAACCAACACTTACAAAAAGTGACCAACAAATGTAAAATGTCTCTCATTGTAAGGAGACGAGCATTTCGAAAAACATGGGGATTAAAAGCAAAAATGGTCCACTGGCTATATTTGGCAATAACAAGACCCATGATAACTTATGGAGCGGTTGTTTGGTGGCCAAAAGTAAACCAGAAAACAGCCCTCAATACCCTCTCAGAAATTCTGAGGCTGGCATGCCTTTGTATTACAGGAGCACTGAGAAGTACACCGACAGCCTTTATGGAAATTATTTTAAACCTCCCACCCCTTGACCTAGTCATAAAGGGGGAGGCCAGAATGAGTGCATACAGACTGGAAATCTCTAACAACTGGAACCCACTGGGACGTATAAGTATAAAACATACCAGAAAAATACATGAAATAATTGATTCTATATTAAATATGGGATCAGATCACACGACACTTCTCCTAACCTTCAACAGACTCTTCCAGATCAATTGTTTCTGGAACGAGGTAAATAGGGGGATAGATAAATACTTGCTTAGCGGTATCATATGGTATACGGATGGATCTAAAACTAATAAGGGAACAAACTCTGGTGTACAGGGAGTTAAACCCAAATGCGACATCATCGTCTCACTGGGAAAACATACTACTGTATTTTAGGCTGAAATACATGCAATCGAATTGTGTGTACGAGAGAATTTAGGAAAGAAGTACAAAAAACCATTCTAATTCTCTAAGATAGCCAAGCAGCCTTAAAGGCTCTTGATTCAAACAGAATCAAGTCAAAGCTTGTCTGGAACTGCCTTGGAATACCAAAAGATCTGGCAACCCACCTTTGTGGGATTACTAACGGAGCACTGCTTGCTAAAATACCTTCATGTGATGGGATTATACAATGATCCTACTAGGTGTAAACTCTGCATGGAAGAGGAAGAAATCTCATACCATGTGATAGAGAAGCTTACAATAGTTCATTTTCACCCTCCAAATTTCATC